TATCAAAAGATGCATAAGTTTGGAGAGAATGGATGTTGTGTTGTAATACATTTATTGGGTACAAGAGAGAAGAAAGTGTTATATTATAGAAGAGCTTATTTTTAAATATAATAAAATATTACTTTAGAATTTTAAATAATAATTAAAGATGTAATAAAACTAATAAGTAATAATTCTATTTTTCTATTAAAATTAATTCTATTTAATTTGTAGGACCATAAACAAAACAAAATAATATAGTTTAAAAAATATATTATAAGTATTTTTATATAAAAATAAAGAGTAGAAATCAACAAAAAATTATTAAAAAAATTTGAAATTAATACTTGTAGAGGGCCAATATTGAACCAGGATCAATTCTAGACCTTGAGACATAAAACCACATACTTGCATTTTTTTTATTATTTATTTATTTATTTTATTGATTAAAATATGGTTTTTGAAAGTAGAATTGATAGCATTTCTATAAGCATTGGTTTTGAGGAATTTCAATGTATAGTGACTTTATGAATACTTTGAAAAATTTGCATTGTTTTAAGTGACATTATTTTGTGTTGAATAAAATAAGATTTTTATTTTGTAATTTGTATGAATATTATAGTAAATATGTAGGTTAAATTTTTTAGATTTGTGAATATGGCAATAATAAATGTAGATTATGAATTTAGATTCAATTAGTGTATCAAATCAAAAATAATTGAGGTTCTTGTGACTTAAAAACTTAAAAATTAGGTTTTGAAAGTTTGTAAAGATTTTTTAGGTTTCAAAAAAAATTTCAATTGGATATATATATATATATATATATATCTTTTTGATAGTTGACTAAGTTTTTTACATTATCACCAATTTGAAGAGCAATTTAATGGTTTAAAAGAGAGATATTCAAGCTATAAGATTTATTTTGAGATTTTAAAAAAAGATAATCAAAACTTAAGTAATCTTGAGTCATTTCTCTCAATTTTTAAGTTAGTTTCTCTTAAAATTTTATTTTCTTATTTTTAATTAATAAATTGAGATATATGAGAAATTAAGATTAATGATTAGTATAAAACTTATTAAGGTTTAATATCTACTATGATATTTATTTAGATTTTAATTGGAATTTTTAAAGATTTATTTGTATTTTTTTATATTTTTTAAAGATATTTTAAAGATATTTTTCTTTTTTTAGAATTATTTTTAATTTATTTAGAATTTAATTATTATTTTTTAAGAGTTATTTGAAGTTGAATATAATGTGATAAGTATATTTAGATTATTTAAGATTGTAAAGGCATTTCTAAACACCTAATGTATTATTTTTATTTTTATTTTTATTTTTTTAAATCCAACTTTAAGATGAAATCAAATCCTTCTTCAGCCAAATTCTTAGTGGGATATCAAGCTAATTTTTACATAATATGATACTATTATATTTATAGTTGTAATAGTTGAACTTTGGAAGAAAAATTTTTATTGTTCATAATTGAAATTATCTCAACACTTTAAGTTATAAAAAGAGCATAAAGTTTAATTTCCATAGCTATAATTTGTATCAAAATTCATTTATTATCAATGATTTGATAGTCAAATAAGTAGAAAGAGGTTTTTTGCTCCACGAATTTGAAGCCATGGCCTTAAAAGGACAAGATCTAGAGCATCAAGTCAAATTTGATGCTAACCTTTGGAAGGATAGATGTATCTTAAAATCATGCTTCTAATAAACTTATATCAACTTAAAAATAAGCTATGTGGCTACTATGACATGTGATTAAATAAGAAGAGATTTTTTTCCTATAAAATATAATATATCAACTTCAAGTTCTATATTTTTCAAACTATTAGGATTTTAAAACTAAGATTTAAAGAAGTGGTGCATTATTAAGTTGTGCTTTTAATAAGGCTTGATTAACTTGATTTGAAGCTTGGAAAAGCTTACGGCACCCAATTATGTAAGAAGGAATTTATTGCCATTAAAATATAATATATTTATTTCCTTAGATTTTATTTGGATGAAATTAAATCTTCTTATTTAAGTTTGAGGATGACTTTTAAACAAAGAGTGAAAGATAATGTATGAATAAATTTTGGATGAATAATCAAACTCTTAAATATAATATTTTAATGAAATTATCAATTTGGAAGCAACACATTTTGTAGATGAAAAATTGGGATGAAATCCATTGCATAAATTAGATGAAGTAGATTGAATGAATGTAAAATAGATGGATGTATAAATCTTAATTAATTAATATAATAATAACTGAATTTAGACTATAACGTGTAATAATAATTAATATTTATTTTCATTTAAAAAATCTAAGATATCCAATTGAATACATTTAATTCTTTTTAGTAATAATTTCTTATTATTTAATATGTTAATTATAAAAAAAAGTCAAAAAGATATTTATAAAATATATGAAGGAATTTTTATTAATTTTAGTAATTTTAATTAATATATAATTAGATTAATCTATTTTTGAATAGTAAATAGAGAGAGAGAGAGAGAGAGAGAGAGAGAGAGATAGATAGCTATTGCTATAGACTAATAAACTAAAGACTCTCGAAATTAGACTAGAAGAAAGAAATGACTTGAATAATGATGAAAACTTGGCCAACTTGTTGATTAAATAATTTTTAAATATAGTTATTTTATTCTTATTTTTTAATTTTTTTGTTAATTATACATATTTCTTTTTTTTGTGCTAAGTAGGAATGTTTAAAAAAGTATCTAATAATTATTATTTTATTTTAGGATATTATATAATATTAAATAATTTTTTTAAAAAGACATGTTTTAATGTATTGAGTGATAATTTAATATATATCTTGATATGAGATACTTAAGATACTTATAATTGTTATAAGTTATGATTGATATAAATTTTGATTGGATAAAAAAATAAATTCTAAGTATTGATGTTATTTTTTAAATAAATCAAAGTTAACAAGAAAATTTTAATTATAAATATAATAATTAATTTTGGATGTTCAAAATATTTTTGAATAAAAAGCAACAAGATGAAATTCATGAAAATAATCAATGGTTTATTACATGGATAATTATAAATTTTATTTTTTTTATCATCTTTTTATATTTTTATATTTTTTTAATATGATTATAATAGAAATGATGTCAAAAGTTAACTAGAAGTAAGTTAGAAGAAATTTATAGATAATTTAGAAGATATTAAATTTTAATCTAGATTACCAAACTTTTAAACTTTGAAGTGTAAGAATCTCTAATAAATCAAAGAATTTAAGTATTGATCTTTTTTTTAAATGCATTTTCAAGACAACAATAAAGTTAATTTGGCCAATAAAATATCACAATGTCTCATCAATGGTCAATAGATTTAATCTAAAGTTTTAATTCTTTAATCAATTAAGATTATAGATCTTAATTTAGACTCCTTAGAATTCAAAGGTAAAGATTCAGGTGCTATTTTTAGGTTTTAAGGCAGTATTATAAGAAGTCTCATATGCTTAAGTGGTCATGATTTTGTTTTTTGATAAATAGACAAAGCCATGCCAAATTTTTTCTAAGCTTTTATAAGAAGCTTTGGTCTTTGTTCTTTCTTTATTTTAAAATTTAGAATCAAGTCTCAAAAATTTAGGTAAAAACAGGATTTTTTTTATGGTTTTGTAAACATTAAAATACTAGAATTTAGAGTTTGGACAATGAAGCATTATGTAAATTATTAGAAGATAGGGTATTGCTATTGTAATTTAGTAGGTCTATTTTAGAAGGCTATCTTTTATTGCTCAATAATTGCATAGCAACAAAAAATATTTTCTTGAAAAATTGATAAAGTTTAGTTTCCAAAGAACTAATATTTAACAAATTTATAGCTGGAACATGGTAGAAGTGATAATTTTTGTAGAAAAGGATTTGATGCCTCCAAATAAAAGTTATTAATTAAAAAAAAAAATTTAGAAATTAAGATTAAAAAAATTAGCACAATCTAAAATTTAAATTTTTAGTAATAAGTGACATCTATAGTTAAGATTCTAATAAGTTTAATTTTATTGAAGGGCAATTAAGGATAAGGCTATGGAACTTAGTATTATAGATGAGAGTTTGTTATCTTAACAATTTGAAGTATTAACTTTTAAGAAAAATATTAAAAGCATCTAAATAAATTTCAAGATCATTTTTAGATTATAAATTTTTTTGAGGTTTTCTTCCAAAAACACCAATTGGTGTTAATTTAAAATATAATATCTAATTTTATATATTTATTTAAAATTACTAATAAAGTTTTATAAGAATATCAAATTTTAATAATATAATTTTTATTAATACAAGTATGAAGATTAAAATTTAAAATTGGCAATACATATATAAATACTTATTTTTTTTATTATTTCTTAAAATAATTTATTGATGTGTTTAATAATGCATATTTTTAAATTAAATATTAAATATTAAATTTAAATTTCTTACCTTGATTATTTGATAGTGTTTTTATTTATAAACTGATGTTTTATTTTTGATGTGTGATTATTATTCCAACATTAAAAATGCATCAAAACAAGAACATGAGCAAAGATACAATATTTATGAAATACATACAGCCTAATTCTCTTTTAATAATTTAACCTTCTAAGACATCTTTTTTAACTATTCATATTTTTCTTAGAATTGAGGATTCAAAAGTAGCCAATTTGTGGCTTTGGCATTGACCATTTTCAAAACTACATTTTTCTCCCAAAAATTCTCTCTCAAAAAAAGTTATATACTCTAATTACTTCACATGTTATGCTCACCTTACCTGTTCCATTTTCTTAACATTTTTTTATTTTTTTTATTTTAATAAGTTCCAAACAATTCCTAAACATCATGAGCATCGGCACCCAATCCATGAGAGGCAATTTGCTCAAACATCCAAACTAAAAATAAACTCCTCCATGATCCGAATACGACCATGTCCCAATGCTATGGAATCAGATCCAGACATGAAAGTCCTAATCTCACAACTGGAAAGGAAGAACAAAGTGAGTCTGAGCACCATATCGAGAAGTATAATGGGGTTTAGAGCATGGAATGCATCAATCTCATTGTAGATGTGTGCAGGGAATGCTAAACCCAAGTTGATAACTTACAACGACTGTTCCGTCCAGTGAATCTTGTTGCATTTTAAACCAGAGCAATCCATGAGCATGGACCCCAAGTTGCACATCAGATTCCAAGCCGGACTAGTATTCTAGACAAGCCTAGATACACACATGTAGTAAATTAGAGCATGATCCATTCTTAGGTCTGTTTGAAGTCTTTTGCAAGGTCCCACGTAAAGAATGTACAAGACTGAGCACAGATTGCGATTATAGGTAAACTAGAATAACTTGTGAAGGTTGACTGGACCCTGGAATGTCTAGATCTGCAGTGAACCGAAAACCAAAAGCACCATCGCTGCGAGAAGGATTAGGATCTGCCAGGAACTACACGCGGGTCCAAGCAGAGGCAGTGAACAAGTACAAGTCCTTCCATCCAAGCTTGAGAGAGCCACTGTGCTCCAGCAGCGTGTACCCATCGCAGGGAAACAGACTCTGCAGCAGCAACGCTGCTTGGTGTGATGCTTTGCCACTCAGTGAAACTGGCTTGAATCCCGCTTTGCTCAGCTCGTCTCGCCACTGGTCGAACTTGTGGTTAATCTTGCGGCCTGGGCCATCGAAGGCGACGATGTTCTTGATCTCGCAGGACAGTAGTTGCTGCTCGACCATGTAGCGTTCGGGGCTATCATCCTTGCACGTAGCGCCCAGGGAATCAAACATGGCGGAGTAGTAGTGTAGTGCTTCCAGGAATCTGCTCAGAAATGTTCCACTGTGGCGGAAATCTTGCTCAACGAGAGTGATAACCTTTGGATTTAGCTTCTGAATCAGGCTCAGTGTGTCGAGGTCGGAGCCGGTGACATCGTAGAGCGAGTGGTGCATCCAATGGACGGCCAGGGCATCTGAGAATGCTACCTTCAAGGTGGATATATCGACGTTGCTCATCTTGTCAGCAATGGCAGTGAATTCGAACGAAATTCCAAAACTCCCTGCAAAGTCTTTCAGTCGTTTACCAGTTGCGTCGAGGCTCTCGGCAGATGTTCCAAGCCCAGTGATGTGCACGTGAGGAGGACCTCCAGCTCTTGATGCCAAAACCTGGAAAAGGGAAGGCCACTGCAATCCCTGCATTATATCGACATCGATGATGTGTACGTTGAACTTACCTTCGAAAGCCTCTGCAATGGCTTGATTCGCCGTGAAGTGCGAGAATTTCACAAAAGGACATATTTCATTAAAAACCTGCATTGCTGAGACTATACTCTGGTTACTGGCTGGCTGCTTGCAGGGGAGAGGACGGCAAATGCCTAAACTGGATGTCACCAGTCGAGACCCCATGCTTTCGGCGAAATACGCAACCACTCTTTGAACAGACGTGCCGAAAGGGGTTGCAAGCTCACTTAATTGTGGGAGAATCGCAGTCGCTTGATTGTTATCGTCAGCTGAAATGGCCTCAGCACATTGAAGCAACAGCGACATGAGCTGCAATCCTTCGTCGGGAGCAACTGTGTCTTCGCGTTGTGCATTCTGAGCTGTAGTTTGGGGTAATTTTTGCGGCTGGGATGGAGGATCCTCAGAGCCCATGGTGTTAAGAGTTGAAAATTGTGAAGCGCTAGACGGCGCTGGAGACCTTTGCAGAAAACCATCAGCTTTGTCTTGCACGTTATGTGTATGAAGTTTATGGTAATGCTGTTGGACTGGTTCAGTCGACTGAGCTCTCGAATGTCGAACTTGATGGCTGGATTGATCTTTTTGAGTAGCTTGCAGGCCGATATGCAAATGCCGCAAATTGCGTTCATCCGCAGGTTCAAGAGAAAGCTGCAGATTGTCAATGCTTCGTTTTAAAGGTTTGGGACAACGAAGATCCACTCTCGAAAGCGAAGCTGCAACTTTTTTCTGCGAAATGAAGTTTTCCGGCCTGACGTGGTGGCGAGGGAGTGTCTCGTGAAGGTCCTGGCTCTCGTTTTGAAATGTCTTCGAGTTCGTCCACTCAACTTGCACTTCTCGTGTTCTTTTGCCAGATCTATTGGGTCCCGGTGGCGGGAAGTTCTTCGATGGATAGCCCGCACCTCCAAGTAGCAATTGAAGACGACATCCAATGAGACCTTTTAAATGCAAATTGCACGGAGATAGAAATTCGGGGAGATTTGTGAACAATTGCTCAATCGCTACTCCAGGCATAGCTTCCATCATCTCCGTGATCGTTCCATCAACCCAAGCAGCTATGGAATCCTCGTCCATTTCAGCGGATTGGTCTCTTGCTTCCTCTCTGGTTTGCGCACCGCAACCATTGCTGCCCTGCTGCGCTTTGTCATTGTGACTGGGTAGTTGCTGGTGATGACTCAGGGCGTCTGCAATCTTACCCCAATCATCTCTTGGGGCCGCATTCATAATCGGCACTGGGCTTTGGTACGGCTCCTTTGCGTCGCATCTCATTGCTTGGGGGCTGCTGGAAAAGAACCCACCACCACCTCCCACAGATTGCAAAATAAGACTCACTGGTATTGCGCCACCGAAATTAGTGTTTGATGATCCCGAACTGACATGTTCCGATAGTGTACTATCAGGGGGAAACAATACGCTGTTTCCGGTAACGGGCGTCACTGCCCAGCCAACAGTAGAAGTATAGGGGAAGGAAGAGGAAGTGGTACCATAACTAACCACGAAGACATCTGCCCAGTAGAGCTCCACTTAGCAGCCACTCCAAAGTCCAAGTCTGGCACATGAGCTCTTTGATCTGATAACTTGCTACTTCTGCCAGCATCTCGGTGCTCTCGACCAACTACTTCGGACTCGCTGTGGCAAGGACTCGGCAAGTACTCAGTCATGTGTAAATGATCTCTGTAACCTGGAGAATATCCACTACAATTCATGCGGGATCCTACTTCGGTGAATGCAGTAGTTCGAGACCTTAGTTCCTCCTAGATTTAAACCGACCAAAGCCATACTCTCCGAAGCACCTGCTCTTCAGAGTTTACGGCCAAGTCCAAACTACCTCAGGTTCGGAATCTTAGATGAACTTGCTTTCTCTAATTTAAGTGGCCTGGAGAATCACGACCAGAGTTCAAATAATCTAGACCAGCCAAACCACCACGGACCTCGACCAGGCTTATAAATCAAAAGCTAGTTACCGTTCTGCATCTCTGCTCTCCCTCTAATATTAGTCTCTTTTCAATAGAAGACATGGCGAGCAAGGGTCTTTCATGGTTGTAACCCCGAACGGAAACTTTATGACATGAAAAACGACACAGATGTACAGAGAATTTATGCATGGGCTAGCAGAGCAGCCTTCTATCACCTCGACGACAATTGACTTCGACTTTGAAGTCTATAAACCTATTACCTCTAGAGTCTATCAACCTATTATCGGAGCGCATAGAGAAGAACTTATGTGAACCAGGTGCTCGTAGGTTTGTAGGGCTTGCGTCACGCTATCCGAAGGATGGTCCGTACTTGGAGCGGCAATCTGATGCTTAACTTTTGACTCAGAATCTTGTCGTGCACTGTCATTCAACCAACAATTAACTCGTCAGAGCACTTCTAAGACAAAGATTTTAACAATTCTTCTGAGTTTTTTGGAATCCAATAGGCAGTGCTTCCAAGTATCTAACTCGCAGATTCATGACATCTATATGACCGGGTGGGATGATCGGGCGGCCACACGATGAGGCTCCGGGAAGGTCCTCCACCCTTGTGTGGAAGGCTATTTGGGGTGTATAAGATGAGGCATCGTGTCCAACAAGATTTCTATGTGTTCAACCATAACATAATAAAGGTGCCTTGCTATCTTCAGACTCTCAGCTAAAACTCAAAGGAGAGACAGAGAGCTCTTAGTGGTGGAACTGCTTCAGTTAGAGTTATAGATTTTACAATTAGCAATCTAGTAGCAAAGTACATCAAAGGCTACACAATCAGTAGAGAAGAAGGATAGTTTGACGTATATGACACAACACCCCATGCAAAGGACGATAACATCCTATGCCAACTTTGTCATATAACATGAGTGAAATCTTGCGTGAGAATGCACGAGGCACCTAGTTGTGGAAGGATAATTAAAAATGTAACAACAAGATCTTACCAAATCTAATAGAATCTTGAATAAACTCTAATTAATCCTTAACAAACCTAATCAAATTTTAACCAATATATATATATATATATATATATATATTTTAAATCACTAAAAAAACATAAAGAAGTCATAAATCAATCTCAAAGAAAATTAATAAAGAAATATTTTAAAAACACTAAAATAAAAATCTTAAAGAAATGTTAAAAAAATCCTTTAAAAATATCAAAAATAGAAATCTAAAATAAATCTTAAATAAATCCTAGATAAATTCTAATTAAATCTTAATATAGTCCTAAAAAAATTCTAATGAAACTTTAAAAAATCTTAAATAAATCCTAATAAAATCATAAATAAATTCTAATCAAATTCTAATCAAATCCTAATTTTAATCATAACCAACTTTAAATCAATTCTAAAAGAATCCTAAGTAAATCTTAACCAATTCCTATAGTTGTTTTAAAATCTAAATAAATATTAATCAAGCTATTTATTTCATCTAAAATTTTACTTACACTTCAATCCATAAGCAATTAACATGCACACAAAATGTACACAAAATGTGTAGAAAATCAACTCACCAATTGAACAAAAAAGCTCCTAAACCTCTCAGATGTTGATAGTCTTCTTTTTCCAACTTGAATGTTCAACTTGTAGTAGTGATTTCTCATTGCTAAACTATTCAATTGCTTCAAAAATTTACTAGAGTGTATATTTCTAAGTAAAAATAGACCTTATCAACTTTTGCCTCAATCAAATAAGCTAATTTTGTAAGATTGCAAAATCCTCTTTTATCCTAAATTTTAAGTATCCAAGTTCTTAATTCAATAAAACTCTCATATCCTTTAATCTATCCATTAAATTGACATCAAATTTATCTAACACATTTATAACAAGCACAATAATAAACTTATAAATTTTTATTCATAAATATACTATAAAATTCACAAAATTTTTAAATTTATAAACTTTATTTTATTTTTTAAAATCTAAACAATAAATATATCTTTCTTTTTGAAAAGCCCTCAAAAATTCAATATACCTTCAAATTATATAAAAATAATTCTTAAAAATCTTCTAAAAATTTTACACTTAATTTTTACTCTCTGATGGGCCAAAGAACCATGGATTCGCCATTGGCCCATAGTTTTGTGCCTTTAGATCTGATTCTCATCTTATTTTATAATTGGTCCTCTCTAAATATCAATTCTTGGTATTTTTTAGGTAATTTTTACTAAATTTTATTCTTAATTCTCTCCTAAAGATGCCTATATTGATTAATTATTTTATCTACTTTAATTTGGCTCATTTATGTTTCGATAAAATAAATAAAAGTCTTATTTATAAAAAGATAGTATTAAGACTAAAAGTTTTTACTACCTTCCAATCATATCTCTTTTTTTTTTGCTACTATATATTTCTATTTGGATCTTCTATAATAAAATCTATTTATTTATTTATCTTTTATTATATAATTATATTTCTATATAATAATGTATTTAAGGTACAATTAGCTTATATATGAATTATTTCAATAAAGTCAAAAGAAGGATGCCAAGTAGAGCATATATATTATAAAGACAAGATTAAACCAAAAGTTCTAGCTATCATAAGAAACTATCATGGATATACATAGATACTCTAATAAATACCTACATGATTGAGTAGAAGTAGGTAAAAGTAGTTAAAAGTAAGTTAATTTCATAATATCTTTTAGAAAAGCTTCCTAGAAGCTTCATAGATGCTTCTTTGAATTTACATGTGTTTGTAATTGATTGATAGGTTAGAAACTTAGATAACAAGTTAACTACATGTTGGAAGCTTTCATTTTTATTTTTTCAATGACACAAGAGTGTATTGAGGATTTCTTTCTTCAAAATTCATATCTTTGATAGTTTGACAAGAGTGCTACCTTATTATTTTTGTCTTATTTTAGAAGTGATGGAATTATCCTACTTTTATAGTTTTCTTTTAAAGGTTGCAAACTACCCATCTTTAAACAAAAAATCTTATTTTCTAACACTAATCTTTTTTTTAAATAGAGTGGATTACTCTTCTTTGTAAAATTTTTTATTTGATATTAGAGGTTGCAGATTACCCTCCTCTAATTAATTTTTTTGAATTTGTTTGAATTGTTTATAGAATGAAAGATTATGGATGCTACTTTCAATGGAAAAGATGATAGATTTGTAACTATTACAAATCTTTATGAGCTTGTCAATACTCTAAGAGTAGAAATTTTATGTATTTCTAACGTGAATCATGGAAGTACAATGCCTACGCTTATGAAAGAAGTTCAAAGTATGCAACAAGAAGTTATGCAGTTGAAGGAAGCAAGTAGATCGACCTTGCAACCAAATGTAAAGAGTTTTGCTTCTACATGTATGATGGGGACAAAGATTAATATGCTTGAGAAGTTTGATGGAAGAAGATCAAAATTTCAAGGATTTTTGCAATAAATCAAGCTTTATTTTAGGTTCTATTCCTTTTAATATCTCAATGGATTTATTCAAGTTGGATTCATAGATGCACTTTTATCAAGAAGTATTCTCTCTTAGTTTATACCATTAATAGAAAAAGATTTATAACTCTTTTATCATTTGAATTCATTCTTATAAGTATTTATGGCTACATTCAGAGAAAATGATTGAAAAAACTAGCAGAGACTAAGCTCTCATTTTTATGGTAAGGATCACAATCAGCCACCATATATATTATTAAATTATAAAACCTTGCTTGTGATGTGGATTGGAATGACAAAGCCCTTATCAATCAATTTTGATATGGATTAAAGGATAATGTCAAAGATTTGTTATCGATAATGCCAAAGGTAGAATCTTTGGAACGATTTATTTTCAAGCCATTGCATGCAATAATTGATTATTTGAAAGACATGAAGAAGAAAGATTTGGCTAAAAAAGATCAAATCAAATAATGATGGCAGCTTCCAAGTTTTCAAAAACTTATTTATCAAGATCAAAACCAATGCAAATTAATACAATACGTTTTAAATTCTTCATAGAGTAAGAAAAGACTCAATATTGTTAAGAAAGCTTATGCTTATATTGTGGAGAAGCTAAACACACTACTCAATACTATCCAAAGAAACATTGCAATCAAAAAATGAAAAGCATAGTTGCCAAAAAAGAGGATGTGTTGAAAAACGAGTCTTTCTAACTACAATAGGGACCATGCAGCTGAAATCTTATGTAACTCCTAGTAAAGGTCATATTTTCTCTTCATATACCTCACCTTGTTTTAATATAAAAGTTTATTTAGGACCAAAAAATCACAAAGTCTTAGCTTTGTTAGATTCAAGAGCCTAAGCTTGTTTTATAAATGAAGATGTTGTAAAAAAATAAGAGATATTGTTAGTCAAAAAATTAAACTTGTACATATAGAAGTGATAGATGGTTGTTTGCTATCTTTTGGAGATGTTATGCATGAGACCATTATTTTAGATATAGCAATTAAAGATTATAATAGCATAGTAATATTTAACATAATTAGATCTTTATGCAATTCAATTATTTTAGGATTATCTTAGTTAAAAAAATATAATTCTTAGATAAATTGAATTTCTCAAAACCTTAATTTTTTTGATAGTTTAATCCAAAATCTTGTTAGCTAAGTAAAAATACACAAGTCTAGTACATCCAATATCTTACTAATAGATGCAAGAGCTTTTATGCGTACTGCAAAAAAAAGGTTATCTTTTGTTTTATATGCCTCGCCCATTTCTAATAGCAAAAAGACGTCAAGTGGTATTCTTAGCCAATATTAAGATTTCTACAATGTTTTTGAAAAGAAGAATGCATATATTCTTTTAAAACATTGTCCTTATGATTATTCCATTGATCTTTAAGAAGGAGCTCAACTACCATTTGGACTAATCTATAGCCTATTACAAAATGAGTTGGTTGCACTCAAAGAATATATTGATGAAAACTTTGCTAAGAATTTTATACATTAGTCTAAATTTCCAATTGAGGCTCCTATCTTATTTGTGAAGAAAAAAGATGGATCTTTACGGATGTGTGTAGACTATCAAAGCTTCAACAAGATTACTATCTAGAACAAGTATTCTCTACCTTTAATTTTAGAAATTTTTGATCAATTGAATCAAACAAAGATCTATATAAAAATGGATTTATAAGGAGCATATAATTTGGTATGTATTAAAAAAATATATAAATAGAAAATTATATTTTGAACTACATATGGACATTTTGAATATAATGTCATGTCTTTTGGACTCATGAATGCAGTAGCTACTTTT